TTTGGGTGTTTCATTCAGTGCTTTGCTGGGTGGTGCTTTGTTTGTTACGAAAAAAACAATAGTTTTTGGGCATTGACAGGCATTGAACATATCGATGTTGTCGCCTTCAGGTGAAACTATAGGCCATTGTCCCAATAAACACCAGACTAGTGACTAGCTACCTACCTGCAGTGTTAGTTTCCGTACCGATTTAAGCGGTAACAATAACGAAGTAAAAATAAATAACCTTGAATTTAAATCATGAAAATATTTTAGGATAGATAATGAAAGATTTATTCCTTGTTAATATCCTAATTCCGACGTGGATGACCTACATTAGATTAAACCGGTGAAAAAATTAATTAAATTGTGCGTAAAATTAACCCAGACATCTTTGACAGTTTAAAAAAAAAAAATTAATTCTAATAATCTACTTGATAAGATTTAAAAAGTGGATGAGAGAGAAGCTATTGTTTAACTGTATTCTTGCAGCAGTAGTAGTAGTTGTTTAAATTTCAGTGCTTTTCTTTGACAACTTCCATTCTCTTTCTATTCTTCTATTCCCACTCTCATTTCAAACTCCCATGGAAGATTCCTCTATCCAATTTTTTAGGGTATATCATGTATGAGTGGGCGTTCTTGCAAGCCCATCAGTTCAATAACCCGCAAACCAAGGGAAAAAACTCCTTGAGCAATATGAGATGTACCCTTCTCTGTCGCCATGTAAATTAAATACTAAAAACTCTCTGTTATTAATTACTAGTATTAACATGTCATCTGCATAAATCGTTTATGTCGTGGTATGTACAACTTAACTCAATCTGTACACGATCCAATTACTAAGCCGGTCTAACCCATTTGAATTGAAAACATAACCGCTAATTAAAACTTGAGAACCTATTTAGATTGAACTGATATCCATTAATTCCGTGTGCGGGAATGGAGCAGCCCTAATGTAAAACGATGGGAGTGGCAACAAGTAGCTCTATTGAGTCAGCTCCATAGCAGCAGTGTTTTTTCCCAAAAACTACATGCAGGCATACCTTCCAAACTGAAGCTAAACATTGAAAAAGTTTAAGAAGAAAAGTACTGTATCTGTAGAGTATAGACTATAAGATCTTCTGTGTAATTGAAATTTCAGTCTTAACCAAAACACTGCAACAAGCAACTGTTGCATTGTTTGCAAGAAACAAACAACAAAGGGAAAAAAGTAACGGAAAAATAGTTAGTAAAACAACAAGTCTTTATTACAAAACANGCATACCTTCCAAACTGAAGCTAAACATTGAAAAAGTTTAAGAAGAAAAGTACTGTATCTGTAGAGTATAGACTATAAGATCTTCTGTGTAATTGAAATTGACTTGATGTAAATGCCTACCAACCAGACATTTAGAGGACATTAGTGCAAAGTAAAGTTGTTGTTCTTCAGTCAATTGAAAAGGTAGCCTAAAGACAAACTCCAAAACAGTCTATTGATCATGAGCAAAGTCATTATATTTTGAAAAGTTAGAAAAAAAACCCTAGTCATGAAAATTTGACTAAGTTTCAATTAATTAAGGTAATGTACGAAGCTCCCACAATTATATAGTCTAAAAATGTTAAGATGTAAGTATTCTTACTGCTGCATACGGATGTAATATAATTTTCTATAATGGATTGCTTTGATTTTCTATAGTATTATATAGAGAAGACTAAAGTACCGAACCTCCAAAACTTACAACTCTTACGAATCATTTTACAATAAAAATTTTCATATTTTTGTGAGTGATTTATAACTTTTGTGGGTGTTTTTACTAATTTTTTTGGATAAATTGCGGTTGATCCTAAATAACTACGATCAATTACAGTTACCAAAAAAATGATTTATTGCTAATGTTGTTTTTACTATTTTTATAAATATTTTTAATATTTACCATTAATAGTGCCGATATTTTTTCCCGGTACCATAGATTTCTCCTAATACTATACATTTTAAAAAAATAAATCTCATACATAACTAGAAAGAAGACCCAACTACCGTAACTGTCATTGGCGAATGTACAAATCATAGTCTAACAGTATAAAGGCTATAAGCGCATGTTAGTTGTTGATTTTGTCAAATTCATGAGACTTTCTGTCCCAACAACCATTTTATGGGTAGATTGGATTCCCACTACAAGTTTTAAGATGACTCAAACTTAAATTAAAATTTAATTCATACGGTACCCAAATCTATTAACTTATTATTTAGTCAATTCTAAACCCAACTGGCTATTTGCATCAAAATAGTAGNTTAATTCATACGGTACCCAAATCTATTAACTTATTATTTAGTCAATTCTAAACCCAACTGGCTATTTGCATCAAAATAGTAGGTTAGGTATACTATAATTTGAGAAAATAAACCCAAGGCCACATATATTTCTTCGATCAAAACCTAGATCGTATAAAGTAGTAGGGGAGAGAGCACAAACCGTCAACATTTTTAAAAAATTGAGAATAGAAGTGTCTTGATTGTGTCATATTATATACATACAGACACACATTCTTTATCCATAAAAGTTTAATATGAATAAAATAGAAAAAAATTAAAATTTCATTCTCAGCNAGGTTAGGTATACTATAATTTGAGAAAATAAACCCAAGGCCACATATATTTCTTCGCTCAAAACCTAGATCGTATAAAGTAGTAGGGGAGAGAGCACAAACCATCAACATTTTTAAAAAATTGAGAATAGATGTGTCTTGATTGTGTCATATTATATACATACAGACACACATTCTTTATCCATAAAAGTTTAATACGAATAAAATAGAAAAAAATTAAAATTTCATTCTCAGCTATGAGACAAATTATTTAAATTTTAAATAAATGTTGATTATAAGGTCCTAAAATGATAATTATAGTTTACAAATATTATTCTAGTTTATATGTATGTTTAAGTATGAATCAATACTTTTCAAATAATAATTAGTCGAATTCATAAATTTTATAAATGAGAGTGTAAGTTTATANAAATATTATTCTAGTTTATATGTATGTTTAAGTATGAATCAATACTTTTCAAATAAAAATTTGAATAATAATTAGTCGAATTCATAAATTTTATAAATGAGAGCGTAAGTTTACANAATGATAATTATAGTTTACAAATATTATTCTAGTTTATATGTATGTTTAAGTATGAATCAATACTTTTCAAATAATAATTAGTCGAATTCATAAATTTTATAAATGAGAGTGTAAGTTTACAGAGAATTCACTCTCAAAGCTCGAGAGCGTTAAGAGTTTAGTAGAATTTTGTAAATAAAGTCAATACTCTTCCAAAGCAGAACTTGTTTAGAAAAATTGCGTTAAATTGAACAAATAACAATATGGCACACATTAAATGAAATAAAAGAACTCAGACACAAGATGATTCATTTTCAGTACCATTGTAGACTTCACATGTGTATGGAAAAATTATTTTTTGATATAATATTCTCTTTTTAGTTCAATCATAATGTGATATTGTTTCATAATTATTTTCATCATCAAATACTATAAATAACTTCAATTAAATTAAGATTTACAGCTTAATTTTATTTTTTGATACGACATAAAATATTAAATTATCTATTATATTATTTTTTTTTTCGAGATTATGTTAAAGATTGATACATAGAACAAATAATTGAGTCGAGTTATTCGAGTTTGATTCAGATAAGACTTGACTCGTATTCTAAACAAGTCGAACTTAAATAGTTTTTTAGACTTTTCTATATGTAAAATAGACAAACTACTTGCACTCGGCTCAAGTTCGGATCGTTTTAGGTTAGACGTATTTACTTGAACAATTTTTTAAATTTATTTATGAAAAATGAGTTTGATAGGTTCAACTCGAACTCGTAAAGTTTGGCTTGATTATCAACCTTATTGATATAGTTATCAACTCACCAAAAAAATTACAGGGATAATAACATTATGTAACAAAAATTATAGAATCATCCTTTCAAGTTTCACCATAATTAGTCTCTCGCTCTCTCAACTTTCTTTCTCCTTCCAAAGAGTGAGGGAAAAATAGAGGGAGAACACACAAATGGTACTATATGATGATCATGGTCAAAGATTATTCATCATCATTCGAGCGAGAACAATTGATCGAAAATCGAACGCTGATAAAGGCACTGGTAATATTAAACAGTAGGTGCAGAAAACATTAATTACATCAACTCTCTCTCTCGCCCTCCTGAGAGCCATTGATGAGTTCTTGAGCGGAATCATAAATGTAATTTGTTCTGTCATGAAATGAACGACTTGTTTCTATCTTTCCGATGTAGAAAGAGACAGACAGAGTCCACGTGGGTAATTCCCTACCGTTCAGAAGGGTAACCTGGTAATATCAACACCACATACGGTCCATATCCTCTTATAATATCGCGCCATCACTCTTCCATTCCATTCTATTCCAGCTCAACACCAACACCTAATTGCACAGATACAGAGAGACAAAAGAAACCAAACAACGTAGTATTTATATACATACACACACAGAGAGAGAGAGAGAGAGAGCGGGGGGAAGGGTCTCTTGGGAACCTGAAAAGTCTCATTGCTGTCCTCAATGGCGACTAGATGGGTCAAGTCGCTACAATGCAAATCTAGAGCCGTAGACGACGTTGTTCACCACCACCGCCGCCGCCAAAACCATCAGACAAACCCTAAAATCCACCCCCTTATACCCAACAGTGGAAGCTGCAGAAATGGGTGTCAAAATCTCAAAGACGTCATTCAAACCACTAAACACAACAAAGTGAGCAAACCCACAAAAGGAAAACCACCACAATCACCACCAACCAAACAACCCAGTTCAAGAAAACCCGAACACGCTTCACATCAACCCACTAACGGTGCTCGAACCAGTACCTCCACGCGCCACCTGCGGCCCCCAGGCCCTCTTTTTCCTGCTCTCACTGAGCTATCAGAGGGCCACCCTTCACGTAATGTGGTAGAGATACTCTTTCACACAAGCTGGTCACCCAAAGTATTCTCGGGTCGGATTGAAATGGTTTTCAAGGTCCAGAATTTGCAGCGAACCGTGATCCGGTTTGAGGAGTATCGAGAGATGGTGAAGTCTCGGGCTAGTTCAGGAGGGGTTGAAGGTGGTAGTGAAGACCACGCGCGATGTATTGCGGATGGGAATGAAATGATGAGGTTTTATTGCTTGGAGCCAACCAATGGCGGCGCGTATGAAGAATGCGGTAGCGCTTACGCTTTTCAAGGAGGAAAAGGGGCGGCGATATTCACGTTTTCAGGGAGTGGGGCGGCCTATGAAAGTGCAGGCGGTGGGAGTGGAAGGAGGGCCATGTTGGTTTGTCGGGTCATTGCCGGTCGGGTTTGCAAGCAACTCGGTTTTGACTCGTTGCTTGAAAGACGAGTGGGTTTCGACTCGGTGAGTGGGGACAATGGCGAGTTGCTACTGTTTGATTCACCTGCGGTGTTGCCTTGCTTTCTTATCATCTATAAATTGTAAAAATTCATTGGACGAAGTAAATATTTTCCTTGCATTTATCAAGACCAATTTTCTTTTTCTTTCTTGAATATTGTCCACTTTTTTTTTATATATATATTTAAATTCTCTCTAATGCATTTTTTTTTAATTTCTTGACGGATTATCTACCTTTAAAGAGTGAGATTAATTTATATACAATAAATCTCACTTAAATATATGATAAATAATTTATTAAATAAAATCGAAAAAAAAGTGTATTAGAGAGATATCAATCCGTTTGTTTTCCTTTTATTTTTTTAATTGTGATTATGAGAAGATTGTGTTGACAGATGATAGGTATTTCATTACCATTTTGACATTTTATTATATTTTCTTCTTGTATTATCAATAATCGATTATGATTATTTTGTGTAAAAAAGGGTAATTTATGAAATAATATTTTCGTCATGATTCGAAGATAATTAGATGTATATTTTTCAATTTTAAACATGATATAACGATGGAGCTTGATATCACCTTTTTAAGGATTGCATTGGTTAATTTTTACGGATTTGTTTTAACTCGGCTTAAGTTACGGGGATCAATCACTGAGTAGTGATTTTGGATTGGATGAATAATCGACACGAACAGAAGAAAAAAAAAAAAGATTTATTCTGTTTAATCTGTGATCGAAAAAGTCAATTATTTGATGTGTATTATTGGTAATTTCTCACAGTGAAGGTACATAGACAAAAATTCTCTACTAGTCTCCATCTGGTGTTGCTGATAGCCTAAATGGACCCCTCTTGGCTCTTGTACAATTGTGTGGGACCACACCATACTATGCGTTAGCAACGTAAATGCTTTTAAAAGGCTCATTTACACACTAGTAAATGGTAAAAATCAAGGGTTACACACAAGTAGTAAATGGTAAAAATCAAGGGTTTTTACTTTTAGTGACCGGAAAAGGTTATCAATTCCGATTTATGAGAATATATTGTGAATTAACGTGTCAATAAATTAATGCTATTTATGGGATGATATTTTCAAACTTTGAAAAGACAAAATTGATTTTATTCCTCGAGTATTGATTAGGTTTTAGGTTTTATTCTGGGCTNTTCAAACTTTGAAAAGACAAAATTGATTTTATTCCTCGAGTATTGATTAGGTTTTATTCTGGGTTTTATCATTTTTCGGACTTGTTCAAGTGTCTAATTCATGCCCCCAAGAGATGCATAAACAATTTTTTTACAAAATGATAATCTACATGCTTCTAATTTTTGCAACTAAATCAATTTTTTTCCTTTAAAAGTATTTATAATATAAAACATGACAGATTTTAATAAATTTATTCGACGATTTCAAATATGCGCATTCAACGGCCACTAAAATTCTTTTCAAAATTATTCACCTTGTACCGTACTTTCAAATACGAATTACCCCAAATATTTAAATAAAAATATACATTTGGCCTTGTGTTGAAATGATTGAAGACAAATTTCAGTGGCAAGAAGAAGATTACAAATCATCATCACTCTTTTTTCTAAACAATGTTATTGCAAAGTGTTTAGTGGCTCTAGATGATTGCTGTTGAGTAATTATTATCATACTTTTTATTGCCAAAACAGAATTTGGTTAATGGCAATGAACTTGTCCCTTTTTAATCCCACCTTTGCCTTTTTATAGAAACCAACAGTTTTTTTTTTCTTTGGTAACCACTGTGTTGCCGAATTTTAAATTAAAAAAAGATCGAAATTATTCATTTCTAAGAGTGTTGAAAACCTATGAATCGAAGAGTACCACAACCCTAAAGGGTAACTCAAATAGTAATAATAATAAGTTGTAAACTCAAACAACTCTTTCGGACAATGAAAAATTTATCCCNAAATTATTCATTTCTAAGAGTGTTGAAAACCTATGAATCGAAGAGTACCACAACCCCAAAGGGTAACTCAAATAGTAATAATAATAAGTTGTAAACTCAAACAACTCTTTCGGACAATGAAAAATTTATCTCTTATAAATATTTTAGTCCCGGCATGAATAGACTATACTTACAAAAAATTTATGTTTTACTTTCTCTGAAATCTCTTAGTTATTTAGGCAATTATGTCTTTCCTACCTTCTAAAGTATTATTGTGCCTAAAATCATTAAATCAACCATTGTGGGGTCCTGAAAAAACAAAATGTTACATGGCTAAAAGTGGATAAGAAATTTTTTTATATCCTTTCCTTCCTCATCTTCTTCTTCGCCTCTTACCTACATCTGACATATTCTTCAAACAAAGAGAGATGGAAACCACTATATAAGAAATATGAGATTTTTTTTTTTATTTCATTTCTTTCTTTATCGTCTTTTACGTCAACAATGAACGTAAGATATTATTTAGAGAAAAAGAGAGAGAGATCACCATATGACTAGTGAAACTCGGGATATTGTTGTGACCGAGAACGGTAGCTCCTAAACCACCTAGCCAAACCTACCCAAAACTTCTCTCTTCTTCTTAGAGATGAATGATAACTAAAAGTAGGGTTAAGGCCCCTTTGGATCCTTCTTTTGCTTCTCTTTAGAAGAAAATAAAAGGGGACAACACATGATGTATGGTCACTTTCTATAATGAAAACTTCACAACCTAACGTCTCTTACGAGTGGTGTAGTGGTTGGGCCTATCATTTGATAATTTAGAAACCACATCAATCTTCTAGTCTATCCATATATACTGTAAACCCTTGCAAAAATAGTAATATGCTCTATGGAAAACATATATGAATTCAAGTAAATAGGCGTATCTAATGTACGAGGCTCCCGCCATTACAAAGTCTGGAAAAAATTAGATATACGTAGTCTTACTTTTGTAAGCTCGCGACTCAAACCCGTGACCTCCGGGTCACAGTGGAGCAACCTCGAGTGCAAACCAATAAAACTGTTACTAAACACTGATAACTTCACACTGTTTGTTTCGTGGTCATCAGCTCAAAACAAAGGATTAGTGAAGATAACCCTTTAAGCTTTGTTGCAACAAAATGACATTGTATTCAGGAAGCAGGAAGCCTCAATGTTTCTAAGCTAGTGGAGAAAATTAAGTTAAGGGTCTTGACTCTCTTCCTCAAAATCTACTAAAAGAAATGGAGGAGAAAAAAATGAAAGATGATCTTCAGATGCCCTCTAATGTACATTTTGCTGTGCTGCAGCATGGCAACAGAATCGTATCATCACCTGCCAGTGCTAGTGAGACTCCACAAGAACATAGAGAGGCTTGCCATTCAACCGCTCACGACCCTGCAACATATCCAAAGTAATAATAAACATAAACATAAACACAAGAATTGAGAAAAAATTCAAAAACAACAATGTATAACAAATCAATAGAGGCTGCAGGAGGGGCCATCCTAACACCTATGCTTTCCTGCTTTCCAATAAATCATATCTCAATATCCATCTATAATTCTAATTCTGGTAAAAGCCCATTAGAAAATTTCAGAAGAATTAGGTTGGAATGAATTTCCTATCATATGTATCCCTTTCCATTGGATTCTAGTAGAGTAATGTATGATATGACTAATATTCTTTCAATCAAAAAGATATTTCAATGATTCCTGTGTTTGTATTTCCCACACCAAACTTATCGATAAGGATCAAGGGAACAAATATACAAGTGAGGGAATTGGCAAAAAACTATACTACACAACTGGGAAACTGATATTGAAACAGAAAAAGGAAACAAATACAAGAGAGTGGAAAAGAAAAAGAAAATGGAAAAGCTCACCTTTAGATCTGGTAATTCAATCACACATGCACATTCAACAACTTCAGCCTCAGCCCGCTCTGAAAAACCACAATTTTAAATCAGAAAGATTACCTCGTCTACACATCTTACAAAGACAGATAACATACACAAAAGTGGAGCATGATTCTGTTCTAAACAGAATTAAAGTAGTCATAACCAATGAACAAAGTAACAATTAAGCTCTACTGTTCTGAAGTATCAGATGGGCTGTCTTGGAACAAAATGTTATCTTTTAATCACAAGAGGATGCACATCATCAACAAGAGAAAACAAAAAAAAAAAAAGACTGCATCTGCAGTTACAAAACTTGGGGTAGATACATTAGTGAAAATTTTAGAAAAGAATAAACATTAGCAAATTTCCTACTGATACCAAAATGTCAGCTCAATTGTCTCCTTTGGTGCATGCATCCTTAAGCTTTATCTGGGAATGCCTCAACCAAAATGGCATTAGTGATATGTGATACTCAATGTTCTTCATTATAATTTCAAAAATTGGACCATTAGATCAGGTTACTTCAAAGAGGAGCTGATGCAGCCCCCACACAGTAAGTTGCAGACACAAAAACAAAGAGAAGAGAGAGAGGAAGAATAAGAAGGGGAAGGGGAAGGATCAAAATAACTCGTGTAGAATTATAATGTTCTAATTCCTAAATCATTAAAAAGAATTCTGAAATTCAACTCAACTCCAACTTTCCATCCATGGTCCTCTTTAAGGAAGAACATCCACTTTGAGCTGGACATTTGTCCGCCAATTTTCCTTACAAGGCCAAAGTATCTCCTACACACCTTCTAAAAAGGTATGACACAGCATAAGCAAGCCTTGGAGACCCAGCAACAAATTAAATCCTTCACCTCTCCCCAGAAACGCCATTGAGATATGTCCAAAGTGGATTGCCTTATTCCAACTCCCAATCCTAGAAAGCCATACATATCAGGGTTCCAAAAAGTCTGTTGCTAAAAAGGCAGAATACACTATACTATCAAGGCAATGACAATTGTTTCAACTCTCCCCTAATTGACAGTGAATAATATTCCATAAGTATTTTCGACCAATAGGCATAATACTGACAAAGCAGACAATGCTTTGTACATTTTAGAGGTAACTAAACATGACCTAACCCTTGCTTAAGCTAAACACCATTAACTGTAACTGAAACTGGATGCCTTGATCGGTTGCTTCAATCATTATTCCCGTATTTGCATCTAACTTAATTCATGTTTTTTTATGGAACATGCACGCACATCTTTAAGCAAATTTTGGTTCCTCAAGATACAAAAACATTTTCAATTTATGTACTCGGGGATTTCAAATGAAGAACAGTTCTATACAAAGTGGACCTCATTAAGCTTGTATGAGAGATATACAAAAGGGATACCCAGCAAATTCATAGCTGCACAAAGGGTGCCACCAGTGGCGATCAAATCATCAACCACCAAAGTTCGCTCACCAGGTTCAACCGCTCCAACATGCATCTCAAGGCAATCGCTTCCATATTCCAAGATATATTCTTCTTTATAAACTTTCCCTGAAATTAAGGTAAATTTTGATCAAGAACAGTAAATATAACTAAAGTGCTTTAACAAGCTTCTAGTGAGAAACAAAGTAAAATGAATATAGCATAATGCCAAGTTTTAAAACTACTGCATTGAGGACAGACTAGAATACGACGAAAATAGGCTACACACTGTGGCATATGGACAGATTTTTCTACTCCACTGAAACTGTACCCAAAGTTTTGACAAATTCAAGTCAAGTGATAACTCAACCGTGCCAAGTTGCAATTCTTTTTTTGTTTTTTTTATAATAAAAAAACAATTTTATTAATTAAGAAAATGTACATAAAGCAGTACATGAAACAGAGAGGGTGGACATCCAAGTTGCAATTGCAATTCAATGGTGTTTTAGGATTGATCTAAAAAAAAATGGATCAATCTGTATTTTTTAGGATTGATCCACAATTTTTAGACCTCGTTGAACTCTAAATTGGCTTCGTTATACTTTAAATTTTTCTGAAACAGTTCCGACTCAGTACCGTAAGTTTTTCCCATAGATGCAACTTGTTGGTTGAGCATCCTGGATCATCTTGGTATAATAATTATTGTGTAAATGGGTCATGGCCATGATTAATAGCTTTTATTTGCAAGAACTGATTACTCATGCAAATTTTACAATATTTGTATATTCATGTCAATCTTGTAGAGTCACTAACCAATAGAAACTGACAGCAGATGAGAAGCCTTCAAAGAAAGGAAAGAAAATTCAGAACACATTTATCTCTGTACAAATTTGCTTCAAATTTGTTCTACAGTTGCTTTTTGCTCTCCACATTACTTTCCATTCTAAGTTTGCACAATTTAGCACAACACGTAAGCATTATAGGACAAAATTAAAGTAAATTGCAGATTCTAGAAATATTCAAAGACAATGGAAGTAAATGTGCTCTGCATTTTATTTCCTTTCCCCGAAAACTTCTTACTTGCTTTAAGCTTTTTGCAAACTTCCAAAAGTTCACTTATGAAAAGGCATAACTGAAGCACATTGGTGAAGTTGCTATGAAAGATGGGCACCAAACTAGCTTCAAGTAGGACCAATGTCTTGAGTAGATGGGTCATCAAGCATAACTAACAGTCAGCCGTACCAGGGGGCCTCCTATTTCTTCACCTATATGCTTGTCTCTCCCTTTTTCTTTGGCCAACTATTCTCTATTCCTTCACCTAACAACCACAGTTTCGAGCATTGAATCTCATCCCCACATTTTTCTCAATTGAGCCACAAATTTGCGTAACAGCTGTGTAACTGTTCTCTTTTGCCATTTCTGATGAATTATTTGCATTATCATGATCGTGATATGTATATTAATGTGAGTTATGTGTGTGATAACCTCAAAACTAACCCATCCAAGCCTCAGATGTTCCTGTCTCCTCTCTTTCTCTATCTGCAATATATGTGGACACTAGCAGATGCATACTCACATGGAAACCCATTCTTAGAGCATCTCCAACCCACTCTCTATGTCTTCTCTTTTAGCTATTTTAGCTCGCCAAACACAAAAAATCCTCACCAACCCACTCTCTATTTCCCATTTCACCCAAATGGCTCTCCAAATGTAGAGAGCCATTTAACCTCTCTAAATTTTCTCTCTACCTCTTTTTCTCTCTATCTCTCTATATATATGTTGTATTTCTTTTAAATTATTAGAAGTTAGTGAAAGTTGGATGAAGTAATTAGTTAAAATAGAGAGTGTGATTGGAGTGAATTTGTAAAAGTGGATAGTTAAAGTAGAGAATGTAATATTTAAATACATTTTGGCTAACTATTTTAGAGAGGTAGCTTGGAGATGCTCTAAGTTCTTGCTTATTGAGTAGGTAAAATCAGTCAAACGGACAATTTAATGCTCCACATTGACCCAGATCTAAGAACATAACGTCCAGCACAGATTCAACTTGCAAGGTCCAACTACATACTGTTTACAGTCAAAAAGTGTATTGGAAAAAAGAAATCTCATGGAGTAAAATTAACAATGTGTTTGTGCACAAGTGTCAAATTGACAATTCACTTCTATACTGTTTTTTCCTCAGAAACCCAAACAGAATGTCAAAAAAATAATCCTATAATGAACCAGAGTATTGCAGAAAATTCAGAAAACACAGTTATTTTCCCTATTGTAACACTAAATTGGCACGCAGTAGACCAATAGCATTCATTCTGCGGCCCATGGTAACTGCAATTTTCCTGTTTCAGCTTCTTTTTTTTTCTTTCCTTTTTGGTATTTTCCCCAAAAAAGCACATCTAGAACGCNCCATGGTAACTGCAATTTTCCTGTTTCAGCTTCTTTTTTTTTCTTTCCTTTTTGGTTTTTTCCCCAAAAAAGCACAGCTAGAACACNTAGACCAATAGCATTCATTCTGCGGCCCATGGTAACTGCAATTTTCCTGTTTCAGCTTCTTTTTTTTTCTTTCCTTTTTGGTATTTTCCCCAAAAAAGCACATCTAGAACACCAAAAATATCTTCTGTCAAGTATGGTTCGAAAATCTAGCAAATAAGACATAGCATTCAAAGTATCATTGGGCAGTAGAAATCAGTAAAAACTACTCGATCACAGTCAGAGTCTTAACAATTAATTATCCCTCCAAAAGAACTACTTGGAAAGCAAAGGAATATCTAATCATATAACGCCCAGACAACAAATTCAGATTATCAATAAAAAGAAGCATCTTAATCAAATAACAAGAAACATCACCAATTATTTGAGTAGGGAAACCTTATGATTGAATTGATGATGTGAGGAAACAAATCCAAAGCACAACAGCAGATCATAACAGCATCAGCGCAGGAGCCAACATATTGCAAAAGAGACATATGAACATACCAAGGGAAGCTAGTGATATGCATGCAAGTTTACCACTACAAAGCAGGAGTCACTGAAGGAGGACGAAAGATACCAGGCAGCTTCCTTGGTTTTCTCAGGGGGACAAACTTTGCTCCTATTGCCCATGCAATGGGAGCACCAAATACAAAACCCCGAGCCTCTATTCCTAGCAAAACCAAAGCAATCCAAAATTATAACACAATGCAAGGACTAACCTTGTCAAGAATAGATCAAATAGAAGCTTTTTGATAATGGTAATATTTTGACTAAAATATGATGCTGATTTAAAAAAAGAAAGAAAAGTTAACATCAGTAACTCGAGACATCTGCAGCAAGCAAAGAAGCAAGGCATTTGTGAGCGACAAACAACTACTAATTTCCGTGCATACCGCAAGGTAAAGCAGTGGTGCCTTTTCAACCTAAACCCTTCTTCCTAAATATGTTTAACTAGATATGCAACGTTGCAAAACCTTGGCATACCATGATCATTGTGATTGTGCCAAGCCTATGCCCACCCTAAGTGATAGAGTGCAGTCTTATGATGTACAGATAAATGAAAAGTGTGTTGGCTTGCACCTTCACTACAGATGCTATCGATTATGTGACAACTGAAAACTAAGATCCAGCCAGTTCTTATACTACAAGTAAAACCACAAATGTTTGCAACTTGGAGCAATTTTTAGCAACAAAAGTTCCACAAACAAAATAGGAATGAAGTGTCCCCTCAAACACACAAATAGAAACAATGAATACACAGGACAAAATAAGAACGTAATATTATGGAAACAAACCATTTTGAATCATATGCTATGAAATCAAAAACCGAATGCATTGATCAGTTCATTACTAGTCAATCAACTTCCCATGAGTTTGAGGCAATGGCAATATCATCTACCCAAAAAAAGCTATCAATACAAGAACATTTAGAGGTTATCTTCTGTATAAATTTTATTATCAACTGACTTTCCTTGCTTTTATTATACCCCATTTATTCAACAATAAAATTTGCAGTTGTTTTCCACGTCATTACTGCAAACAGGGTAGCACAAAGGACATGAAACTAAAAAATACAATAATCACTGGCTCTGTTCAGCAAACAGAACAAAAACTATCGTACAGAGAATTCACCATCCATATTGAAAAAGACAATGAAACCCCACTAATTGTAGTGGACTCCAGACCTACATTGAAAATCTTTCCAGCAATTATTGATCATCGGAAACTCAAATGCCACTTACAGAGTCACAGATAAGGAATTCTGAAAAAGTCATTGCCGAGAAAGTGAATGAATAGAGAGGCTCAGAATCAACTCGTCCAACAGTTTTGGCGTTGAAATCCACAATATAATGAAGCCAAACAAGAAAAGAAAAAAAGTACAAATCGATTCAATCTACTAAAGACCATTATCATCATGACGCGAGTGGGTCCATTCATCACTATTCACCAACCACCACCCTCCACTGCAGCACATACCCGGCAAATCCTTCTGCGCCGCTCAAAATCTTCTTCACATAAGAAACCCCACTACCAACCCACAATGTTCAAAACCCAAAATCACTCCTTACTCACAGTCACCTCCACAATATCCCTCATAAAGCATTCAAAAAGTCACCCAAAAACTCCATAGAACACGGTAAAAACTACAGATTACAGCCCCAACCTATATGTTTTAGGGATCCCACAGTTGATATAGCATTGGAAGAGAGACAGAGAGAAAAAAAGAACCCTAAACACTGAAAATTGTAGACAGCGTATTAGCATTTACCAGCAACAACTGAAATATTTTTGCCTTTGTAACGCTCGACGAACAAATCGATGGTGTCTTTGAAGGCTTTAGGGTCGAGTAACAGTGTGGTGATGTCTTGAAACATAATCCCTGCCAGTGAGTCCATTATTAAACATATAATCAAAATGGTTGTTAAAGCAAATTTAGTAAAACGCAAAGAAAAATGAGGTTCCTTAGTTAGACGCTGTACGAATATCTATATGTGCATCGAGAGAGAGGAGAGAGACAGTGTATGTGTGTGTGTGGGTTTTGTACCTGGCTTTGGGAAGTCAGGAACAACACGGATTTGAGATTTGATGCCATGGATACGAGGATCGTCCTCTCGGCGAGCTGACATTGTCGCTGCTTCGTATTATATTGTCGATAGGAAATATCAGAACTCTCTCTCTCTCTCCCTCTCCCTCTCCCTCTCCCTCTCCCTCTCTCACTCTCTCTGAAAGACAGAGAATATGTGCGTATGCAGATGTCTGAACGTAGAAGCAGAAATATGGACTTCTTCTCAACTTTGAAGCACCTGAAGGATCACTGCTGTAACAGAGAATCTGAAGAAAGGAGAGAGAGAGAGAGAAAGGCGGGTGCTCTGCACTAGGACAAGGGGAAATCTGCTCAATAAATACAGTTAAAATTAACGGTAAAATGAGATAAATTAATATTTAATTTTATTATCTCATTTAATATAAATAAATTAGAGATAACTAATGTGCGGTGTAATATGAATAATTCTAAAAGAGATATTAGTAGTCGTTAGATAAATTTATTTTAAATTTNAAATGAGATAAATTAATATTTAATTTTATTATCTCATTTAATATAAATAAATTAGATATAACTAATGTACGGTGTAATATGAATAATTCTAAAAGAGATATTAGTAGTCGTTGGATAAATTTATTTTAAATCTTCAGATAAACTTATTAAAATATGTCATGTTTTATATTATAGATCTTAATAGAATTTGATTTATTTATCAGTTAGTTTTAATAGAATTTGTCTTAATTAAATAAACTATATAACTATTCAAGGAATAAATTAGAATAATTAGTTAAAAGATTATAAAAATTTATAAGATTTATCCATCTATCTAATATTATAGTTAAAAAATTGAATTCTTAACTTACAAAAAAAGCAGTAATAATTATGATTGATTGGATTTTTATCTCATTTGATCCAATAGTATAAAATTAATCCAAATTTTTTTATTTTCAAGTAAAAAACATCATTTTTTTTTGCACACCCCTACAATGTCAGACAATTTTAATATATTTTTTAATATCAAATAATCTCATTATTTACGCTTATCTTTCTCTTCTCTACGCTACTTCTTTATTATTTTTTATTTATTTAATTTTAAATTATATAATTAAAAATAAATATTTTACGATTAGTNAATTAATCCAAATTTTTTTATTTTCAAGTAAAAAACATCATTTTTTTTTGCACACCCCTATAATGTCAGACAATTTTAATATATTTTTTAATATCAAATAATCTCATTATTTACGCTTATCTTTCTCTTCTCTACGTTACTTCTTTATTATTTTTTATTTATTTAATTTTAAATTATATAATTAAAAATAAATATTTTACGATTAATATTCAATTTTTAATATTACAAAGCCTCTTCCGTCGCGATATTACTGACGGTGAATAAATACAAATACTGAAGCGGTAGGTGTCAAGCGAAATTTATTTCTCTCTCTCTCTCTCTCTCTCATCGGTTTGGCCTTGCGGTTTCGCGCGCAGCTTTGGGTGTCCCAGAAACTTTCTTCAAACCGTCTTATGCATGTAGATCCGAACTTGACCTTGCTTAATTGTACACAACGAACTATTCAGAGCGGTACATTGAGACAATATTATAATAAATTATTTCTTTGATTTTAATCTAATTAAAAAATGATACCGCATATAAACACAATAAGTCAGTGAAATAAAATTTAAAATAAATAACTCAACAAACGGTTGGACATTGATGAATCATAGCCTCGAACGTCACGAGTTTTATTCTCACTAAATTACCCAAAAAAAAAAAAAACTAGGTAACCACAAGAATGGCACCATCCCATAGGGCCTCTCAACCAATTAAATCCTCATTGACCATCACTATTGAAGTGTTAAATGAAAGAACTAACCATCACAAATTTGCTCACAAGATGGGTCATTTTCTAAGGTCCATGTGTGTATGATTTTATACGTTTTTTTTTTTTTTTGTATTATGCATCACTTAATGGGTAATGTGCCATTTATTATTAAATTTTAAAGATTTTTCTTTAAACAAAAAATAATTATGTCCAAAAATAAGAACATGCATGATGGATATCTAGCAAAAGTTATATATGAATTCTAATATATAAATCTTATGTTTATATTTATATGTAAACACAAATTATTATATCTACGATTTAGTTCAACAAACGCAAACAAAAAAAGAATTAAAAACAAAATAAATGTTACTTAAAAAGTATTTGAACAAAGGTTGTGTTAAAATTTAGGTTGAAACAAGGTTCATCTCTTACATTTTTGGGTTACAACACTTTTAATTAAACGGTCAAATTAAATTAAAATTCAATTCAGGTTTAAGTATTAGATTGGATAACTCGGGTTTCAATTTGTTTTCAATTCTCAATCCAATTGCACTCATTCGAGTTAGGCTCGACTGCCATTACACAAAACCCATATCTCAACATGGGTAGAAAAACAAAAAAAAAATAAAAAAGTATTATAAACTCTAGCAGTATTTAAATTGAATTCGGATCAATTCGGAATGACCCGTTTTAAAGCGGCACAGTACCATACGTCCATACGCCAACAGGGCAGTCCTCATTATAAGTCGTTTTCCCTTGAAATTCTATTAAAACGACAAATTCCCATGCCCCCGTGACACTGGGGGTGAGTGGGTTGCTAATTACATTAACAACGTGCCTATCTCTTTCTTCGTATGTGATACGTTGCTTTCAAATCTCTACACCAAATATTCTGTGGGCAACTCCAAACCCTTCCTGTCTCACTAATGCTAATATCATATTTTCTGTAGCATAATCATTAAATTGACAACGGGTCTTACCCAATAATAAGGGTCATTGTCAATTCAATAACAAAATATAATTAGGTTAACGAATTCGGTTCAATTAATAATCAAGCAATACGATCGATCAATGGCATACATTGTAACAAAGTAGATAAGAACTTACTTAGAATAATTACTCTCGGACTTTTTGAGATTTGTCATTAATCATTCAGATTTCTTGACATTTGAAATATTACACACGGATCCCTTGAGATTTGTAGGTGCGTAACACTTACATCCCTACCGTTATTGTCCATTAGTATATCTGTTAATAAATTATATTTAGACCCCATGAAATTTGTAAACATGTAATACTAAAATTCCTCAAGTTTAAAACGTTATATTTAGATTAAAAATATTTCAATCAAATATATTAACTTTAATTGTGGAATATCAAATATTTTATATTTTAAAATGTTAACTTTAATTGGGGGTATCAAATATTTTAAATTTTACAACTAAAATTCATATTTTATTATGACATATATTGAAATAAAAATCTAATTTTTTCTTAAAAAAATCATAATTAATATACAATTATACTATCTATTAGAATTTAATTTAGTCGTTTAAAAGACCAACTTAAACTACCAAATTACCTCAATTAAAGTTAGAATATATTGTGTCAATTATAGTTTGATCCCTTGTTTGATTTTTTTTAGTTTTACTCTAATAGATGCTATAATTGTATACAAATTACGATTTTTTAAGAAAAAATTGACTTTTTATTTTTGATTTTATTTCAGTAAATAATACAATAGAACATAAATTTTAGTTTTAAAATTTAAAATATTTGATATTCTATATTTGATTGGAGTATTTTTTTATTTAATTATAACATTTTAAACTTGAAGGTTTTAAGTATTACACGATTACAATTTTTAGGAAATCTGAGTGTAATTTATTAATGGATATACTAATAAACATTTAATGGTAAGAGTCTAAATGTTATGCACATACAATCTCAGGGAGCCTGTATGTATTCAAATATCAATAAATTTAGGTAATTAAGTGACAAATTTTAAAACATCTGAATGTAATTCTTCCGAACTTATTTATACCGGTCGTTTTATTGGGTGAGTAAATTATATAATAAACGAGAGCTCACTCTATACATCGGGAGAAAAAATAAATATTGCAATTTTGGGACCATAGATATAGGCAACTGTAATTGACACTCCTAGCTGCAAGTAAAATGTTGTCATGATCTCAATGTATTGTATATACATGTGATTGAGAAGGAAGGTCGTTTTACTTTCTCTCATAAAGTCGAAACTCTTTAAGAAAGTTCTATAAAAGCAACCTCTAGGCAAAGACTTTCTTTTTTAATAGGCCATGATCCTTGCAAAAGATATATCCTTTTCAATGATCTCTGAGTTCGTATTGTTTAATTTCCTTCACCTTGGCAATCAGGGGGGGAGTTAAAAAATTATTTTTGAGTGGATGTTTTAAAATATATTAATATTTATTTTCATTTTATTTTATATTAGACACTTAAAATTTTATTAAATAAAAATGGCTAAAAACACTATTTACAGTGTATACAAGCAAAAAATTCAAAAAAAAATAACTATAAAATAACTTCAATATATCCAAAAACTTATCTGAATGTGTTAAAAAAATTGATAATCAATAGTATAGGTCTAATAATTGATACAAACAAGATGGGCATAATCAAAAATTCCTAAAAAAAAATTAGAAATATATGTAAATAATGGTAAGAAAAAAAGTTTGAGGGAGTGGACACAAGTATCTTCAAGAGAATGTTTAAAACTCCAAAATAACTAAAATTTAGATATTCAAAGATAAAAATTATGCTCCAACAAAAGATGTCCAAAATATCTCCAACAATAGAAATTAGTTTAGCTACTCAAATATCAACATTTTTTATTTTAACTGCTCACTTTTTTAATACACATTCCAATTTTTTTTATATATTTTTAATTACTTCCTTTAAATATTATTTCTCTTTCCCTTTGTATTAATTTTCTTTGAAAATACTGAAAGGGAGAAGAATAGATAATGGAAGAAAAGAAATGAGAAGAGAGAAAATATTATAAAGAATTTATACATATTGTTATAGTAATACTCTAAATATAAAATATCACTTTAGCAAAATGCTATTTTACATGCTTTGAAAATGTTCTATTGGAATGAAAATTTAGAACAAAATAACTAAAATTTGAAGTTTTTGTGTCTTTTACGTACTGTCGTGGAGATGCTCTAATCTAGGGCATTATTGTAGCAGTATCTATAAATAGTTTATAATATATTTTCCCTCCTTTTGTCATGTCTCACATCTCTATTCCTTGTCTTTCCCTTTATTCTTTCTTTCTCCCTCACT